AACTCTATGATTCTATGATTCTATGATTCTATGATTCTATGATTCTTATACGCCAGAAAATATTGTATATAGGAGGAGGCAATCCTGTAAATAACCTGGACCCAAACCATGTAGGGCTTTAAAGGTAATACCAACATTTTGTACTTTACCCAGAAACTAACTGGCAGACAGTAGAATGATTTTAATATTGGTGCAACACACTCACTCCTAGATATAAAAGATGATCAATCTGGCTGCTGGATACAAGCTCTCAGCCTCAGGAAAAGGCAATGGCAAACCTCCTCTGAACAAATCTTGCCAAGAAAACCCCTTCATAGGGTTGCCACAAGTCAGAAACAACTTGAAGGCACACAACAACAACAAAAGCAGTTTAAAAAGTATGGTAGTTCATTGCTCCTTAAAACAGGAATGGAAATCCTAGGGCCCTCTGGATGTTGCTGGACTGCATCTCCCAGCATTCCTTGCCTTAGCTATGTTGGCTGGGGCTGCTAGGAGATGCACTCTGACAATATCATGAGGGTTACATGGCTCCCACATCTAGTTTAAAAAATAATGTGTTCTATCACTGGCTTCTTGCTTTTGTTGTTAAAGTAGTGCCATTGATCTTTGTCGTTGTGTGCCTTCATGTCATTTAGGACTTTTGGCCACCCTATCATGGGGTTTTCTTGACAAAATTTCATCAGAATAGGGTTTGCCTTTGCCTCCTTCTAAGGCTGAGAAAATGTGACTTGCTCAGGGTTATCCAGTGGGGTTTCATGGCTGAGTGGAGACTCGAACCCTGGTCTCAGAGTCATAGTCCAACATTCAAAAACCTATGCCATGCCATTATTCACATTCACGTTATTACTTGGAGGGGGACGGAAATTGATAAGAACAAGGTATCAAGATTGGTTAAGAACCTGGAATCCAGTTTGAAAAATTCTTGTCAGAATGCCTCTGATACGTCATAAAATGTCCTTTAAAAGACATTACTACTGATGATTCCTTCTTTCCAATGGATATGTAACTAACAAACTAACAAACAAATAAATCAACAAATAAATAAATGTTCTCCCTTGTTACAGGTGCAAGGGATGATGCAGGAGGAAACTTTGGATTTTTCAGCAGAAGAAGATGCTTCGCTGGATGTGAACCTCCGGCAGCTTTACAGGGAAGTCAAGCAAGAGGGAGAAGAGGATGCCAGCATAATAGGTATGGATTGATGGTAGCTAAACCTGTTGTTGTAGTTGTTGTGTGCCTTCAAGTCATTTCTGACTTATGGCGAATCTATCATGGGGTTTTCTTGGCAAGATTTGTTCAGAGGGGGTTTGCCTTTTCCTTCCCCTGAGGCTGAGAGTATGTGACTTGACCAAGGTCACCCAGTGGGTTCCATGGCCGAGCTTAGAATCAAATCTAGTCTCCAGAGTCATACTCCAATACTCAAACCACTATGCCACCCTGGTTTTCAGCCAAACCTGTACACTGTTTTTGTTTTACTCTGGCGGTGGGCAATTTTTCCTCCTAAATGGTGGCCAGAAATGACACTACTTCACTTCTTGCTGCCATTTTGGAGAAGAAACAGAGGGAAGTTGACCTATTTGAGGGGGAGCTTGGCCATGGGTGACTGGGTGACCTTCAGCCGGTCACACTCTCACCCTCAGGGAGAGGCAATAGCAAACCTCCTCTGAATAAATTCTTGCCAAGAAAATCCCGAGATAGCTTCACCTTAGGGTTGCCATAAGTCAGAAACGACTTGAAGGCACACAACAACAACAACAGTATGTTAATTTTACAGAGGAATACTTGACTAGCTTAACAGAAATCAGTATTTTCATCTGGTATTTTGATAGCACACAAGCTTGTTAATAACTACTTCCTGACTGTCAGCTCTGCATCTCATGCATGAATTTTGCTTGCGCTTTATTGCTACTTTGAAAACTTGCCAACACCGTTGTGAGCATCTCCATTTCAAAAGGGCCAAGGG